CCTGCCGACAACCTCTGGACACTCAAGGTTCCCCCCCTCTGCAGCTCTGCTCCATTTCCAAACAGGTACAGACCTGAACACTCACAACCAGCAAAAGACCTGGACCTCCACTAATCTCTCTGTCCTCCTCAGCAGTGAACCCACTCGTGACCAGCCAAGCCCCTTCTTGGATCTGAACATACTTTGTACATTTATTATTAATAAATCTTTGATCTTTTTTATCTGCCTCCAAGTGTCCTGCATGTGGGTTAGACACATTAATCCGAACATGACAGCAAGAGCTCTATTATTCAAATAAATGTTCAAAGGGCTTGTTCCTTAATATCCCATCTTCTCACTTAAATGAGTTTGTTGTAAATAAAAGGAAATACACTTCAAGCACCTAAACTGTCACACCAAACTTATGTTTTCACTTCTAACCTAGAGTTACTACATTATAGTCCAGCATGGAGGATCAATATTTACATAAAATATATAAGAAAATAAAAGACTCATTACTGCTATCCATTGGTGAACTAATAGCTCAAAATGTAGCTTAGTGACCACTGAATGCAAAGAAGATGGAAGTTAAAGATATATTAAAAAATTTATAAATGACGTATATAAAACTGCCCTCTCACCAACCCCTCCTCCTCCAGTGGGGTGGGTGGTTTCTTTTATCTCAAGTTCAGATCCTCTACCAGAGGCCTGGGAGCTTAAGGGGTTATTCTCAGTATTTGTGCTATTCCTAGAACTGAGTATTTATGGACTGAGATCTCTGATGTTTCTCCAGGTATTTGTTGGAGCTATTTCTTCAGTGTGGAGGTTACTGCCCTGCATGCTCTAATGACAATAATACCAGCATTTCAATCAGAGATGTGGGCAAATGTTGTTATTGAAGAAACAGGGAGTTGATTTATTCTATTACAGAGCAAAACAAAAAAATCTAAAGTGTGAAGTTAACCAACCTCTGGATAATATTTATGCTTTGCTTTAATAAACATGACTCACAGATCTGGGAAGATTCTCAGTCATCCAGGTCATGGTCAAGCCTGAAAAAACCCCTCTACCTGCAGTATATCAATCTCAGTGCTCCACACTGCTAGTTAGAACCGAATAAGCCTCTTAGATTAAAGCCTTTTTAAGCATGACCCAAATAGTTTTCTTCTATGGTAAACTGGAAAAAAAAACAAAACAAAGCAAAAATATGAATTGGCTGTTTTTAATAATAACTAAAGAAAGCATCTTATTGATGAGCTGGACTTTGCCTCCTGCTAAGAGACGAAACGTTAGAATATCCTGAGAGTTCAAAATTTAGGATGATTTGTCTCATTTTAATGTTGAACTGAAAAAATGTAGAAAAAAGAAAATAATCTACCGTATTTTCACGACTATAAGGCGCACTTAAACGTAATCATACTTTATGTAGAGTATTGGGCTTTCCTTTGAGCTTGCTTAGCTGAGGGCCTCTGTTGTAGTCAGTCCATCATTAGTCTCATCTAGGCGTATCTCTCCTCTGACCCAACAGTAAGCTCTTTATAGTGATCTTCACGGAAACCTTGGAGGTTTCTTTTTTTTTTAGAAGACTTGGAAAAGTGACTTTATCCAGTTCGGCTCAACTTAGATTAAATTATCTAAACAAACAACCAATTTATATCTTTACAAACAAGGTTTAAATGGAAAGATATCAGGCTGAGAAGGAATGAAGTCTAAATCGGTTAGATTTAGTCAAGCATTAAGGTGGGAATTAAACTGAAAATAATATCAAAAGAGAAAAAATACAAATAAATCAGTTATTTCAACAGGTTCTAAATCAGTAAAAAAATAAAAATAAAATAAGTGAACTTGAACTTATTAAGAGCCATGTATGTAGAGCATCTATAAAACACTATTTACTAAATAAGTGACCCATTAATTTTAGTGTAATATGATGATGAGATTGTTAAAAGTCATGAAAAAGTATGAACTGAAAGTTCCTGGATTCCCAATGCATATTAGATTTGATCTAGAAGCTCAGCTCTAAATCAGCACAGAAACATTCTCTTTATTGATTATTAGTCAGGTGCTTATTTGCTGTATATTCCTGTAGTTTGATCTCCTAGAATATTCTTTCATTTCATTTTTAGCAGGAGAGTTAATCCAGTTAATGTAAAATATGCTTTTTTTCTATTTACTTTTGAAACTATTATTATATTATTTGCTTGTTTGTTTTATCCGGTTTACCATTAAGGATAACTGTATGAGTCATGTTTGTTGGAGCAAAGAATAATTATTAAGCCTAAAGTTGGTTTTCTTCAAACATCAGATTACTTGTTTAACTCTGGAATATAGTTAATTTAATCCTTTTTTTCCGATTTAACACATTTCCTATCCCCCAAAAAATCTCCTCTGTATTTAATCTGCTAACTAATGCGTTTTCTGGGTTTAGATATTTAACAGTAAAGTAACCGGATTATCTGCTCTACCTGCTGCTGAATGTACGAATCTAACTCTAGTATGAAGTCTTTGACCCTACTAAGTTCATCAGCAAGAATATGGTGGAAGTTAGGAAATATATCAGAGGAATATCACTTTTTATGTTTCAACATGTACTCCTTAAACCATTGATGTGATCAATGATTTACTGACTTTTACACATTGGTGCAGCTTTTTTAATCAAGAGTGTCTGATGCTCTCTGAAAGTCAGAGCTGACAGAGCAGCAGCTGTTAGCCCATCTAATCAGAATGACATGTGGACCAACTTTTCATTTCTACAACTTGGATCACTTTAGCTTTATTTACAATAATATCTGGGTGGATGGGGGATGTGGGAGAAGGCAGATCTTAAGTACATTTACAGAAATAAGCTGAAATATAATATTAAGACGACAGAACATTTATTACTTAAAAGCTTACATGTGTGACTTAATTTCTTGTTTCTAGGTCTAGAGAGGTTCAACATCATTCACTATTTACAACAATAGAAGAAAAAAATAAGTAATTATGTTCCCCTTTGTTAAGAGAAATCAATTTGTGCAAAGATTGAAAATCAGCTCAACTAGTATTTATTTAAAACATATTTTTTTGGTAACTGAAATTCAAACAGTTTAATTGGGATAAGAGTTGCTTTTTCCTGGTTTTAGCATTTGGTGTAAAAACCTCAAATTCTGTCGGTACTTACAGAGCTTTGTTTGAAGCTTTGACCACAGGCAGCAGCCTGAGAAGAGCCTCCTCTGAAGCAGAGTATTTCTTCAGGTCAAACACATCCAGATCTTCTCCTGATGTCACTAAGATGAAGGCCAGAGCTGACCACTGAGCAGGAGACAGTTTTTCTGTAGAGAGACTTCCTGATCCCAGATACT